CCACAGACCCTCAATTCCATCCAAAAATTCAAAAAATTCAAACTGGCCATCCAGCCTACCTATCGTTAATACATTTTTCCACTGAATCCGAAAATGATAATTCTGACGTGTGCCACATACCTTCAATTCCCCTAAAAAATTAAATAAATCCAAACTAGCCATCCAACCCACTTACTTCTTTCAAAAATAAAAGACTTGAACTCGAATTTTGATTGATTGTGGAATTAAAATGCTAAACTATTTTAGAAAATACATTGCGTATGCTACTTAGCTTAAAGTTACCTTAGTTAATTACCTTAAAACATTTTGGAAAACAGTAAGCTTATATCAGAAAATGTTGCATAATCCGGTAGCCACGAACTTTCTCCTGAATGAATTAAACAATAATTCATAAATTTTAGAATCAATACTCACATTTTCTTCAGAACTAGGTATCTATCTAGTATAAGCGTGATAAAGCCATTTTAACAATTGAAAGTTCTCGACTACTCTGGATATTAAATAAGTATGCCCACTCTACTTATGTTAGGTAGTTCCGTTTCCCCACCACATTTGTTTCGTACATTTGTATATAATTAGAACAGGCGTGTTGCACAGAATCAGTACACCTGTCTCCGGTATTATCCTTGACATAACTGAAATGCAGTACTACAGTGATAGGAATTCATCACTTCCCCCTCTAAAGCTCTATTCCTCTCACCTCTCGATAACCACGCTTTACATTAGCCGCCCTGTATATATTTTTTATTCATTAAATAATGTCCTGATTTCTTCTTGCAAGTTTAAGCAATATCATACTCATATTTGAATGAAACTATCAGGTATCTTACGATTTATGCTGCGTTAGTTAGTTTAAATGAAATAAAGTATCAGTTTATAATTTATGTGAACGTGGAAATTTTAAAGGCACAAGTTACAAATATGTGGGCGATCGCCCCCTCCCAAATGGCCCAAAAAAAAATTTTTACCACTAATAAAACAAAAAGAACCAGCTATAAAAATAAACCCCAAGAGCTCCATACCCCACAATATTATCAAACCAAACACATCTATACTGAAATTCTAAACCCTCCTATCTATCTCGCAGCAAGTAACGAAAATAAAGAGTAAATGCTGAACCCGAAGATCCTAAACCCACCTACCTCACACAGTTGAGATTCTAAAGTTATTTGATTAATTTATTTTATTTCTGGATCGTAAATATTTTAATAAAGATACAGCATATATAGTGCATTAAATTGTTCAAAAATACTCATAGTATTTCAACAAATCTGTTAATGTGGTAAAACGATTAATTGTCAGTGAATTAGGTTTATGGATATGTAAATGGGAGCAAGAACCTAATACTGGCCTACAAAGTACTATCGAATTGTTAAATTCGCACATTAATTTCCTCCTCAAAGTACTGTCTGTAGCAACGGCGGAAAGAACATTTTCTTACCTCCGGAGATTGAAAACTTGGCTACAATGGTACAAGATCGGTTAACGGGTCTAACTTTACTACATGCCCACAACGATATTCAACTTAGGCTGTGTTCAGCGAATGGTGGGGCCGATCAAAGTCGTTCAGCGGACAAATATTTCGTTGGTGAGCCCAATCTGCTGATTGGGAATGTTGAGCAGGTTTTAATACAGTTGCTAAAGGAATTGTTTGACTAAAGAAGTTGGACCGAACTAGTCTGACCATTCGCTGAACACAGCCGATTATAAATGTATTTTCGAACGAAAATCGACTAGAATTTGTTTTTCGAGGCGACTTTTACTTGTTTGTTACTTTATTTTTAAGCAATGTGGTACCTATTATAACCAAATATGCCAAACCAAAGATCAAAAAGCATTTATTAATCAAGTCAAACAAATTTCTTTGGAGGAATTTTTCACCTACTGCTCATCATTTTACCGGAGAACTAAAATAAGTTTTGTAGCATTATACTTCCACTTTTAAAATCCTACTGAAAAAATTAAAATCGGACCACCTCCAACGCATCCAGAAATTTTGCAAAATAGTACACCGAAAAATTCAAATTCTAATTGTGCCAAAACTAATGGTCCGACAGCGTCTATTTTGTGCACACTTAACATAGTACCTATAATTCACTACATTTGTGCACAGGGTCAACTCTACAACTTAAAAAATGCCGGAATAATGACGCTATGTATCGGCGTTGTACTAACTTTAGAAAAGAACTTGATTTTTCTGGAAAACTGTTAAAGATAAGTATGGTCAACCTCATATCAGCCAAAAGGGCATTCAATTTTGCATTCACCCATGAGAATTAATATGTGTCATTCCATTAGAAAAAAAAAAAGTTTTTCAACTCGTAAGATTATTAAATGTAGGTTTCAGTATTTTCGAGGCAGAATAACGTACACGTTTTGCTCACAGATGACAAGATGAAGTAATTTATGCCAAAACGAACTGTGAAAACTGCAGGTTTCTAGCTCTTACGGTTTAGACGCTATCTGGCCTTATTTAGAGAGCTGAAATTGTGATTTTGTTCAAAAACAACTCGAAAACGGTAAGTTTTAAACACCATGTACAAGAAATTCAAAAATGCAATAATATACAGGGTGTTCCATTTAAAATAACAAACTCGAAATGGAACACCCTGCAAAGCTAAAAATATTTTCTTTACATGGCTCACATGAGTCCAGGCAACTTTTCCATTTTTTTTATCAATTTTACAGTTGCAGAGTTACAGAAAAATCTCTCATAGATAGAACACCCTGTAATTATAAAAAATCCGAGAAAATAATTGTCCCAATTTTTTTCCGATCCATATCCTTTGCTATCTCTTACAAAAATGCAAATTTCACGCTATTGTTTTTTTCGAAGTTGTGATGATTAATTTGTGTTTAAAATAATATTTCCAGTAAAACGTTACTATGAACTTTTTTGAAGTTTTAGAATTAGTTACTTTATATTTTACTTATAAAAAAGTGATAAATCGAAAATAATTCGTTTTTCGAATAAAATGAAGGACATTCAAAAAATATTTTGAAATATACAGGGTGTCCATATCAAAGTTAGTATTTTTAAATGGAACACCCTGTATTTTACTGCATTTTTGAAAGCACCATAAAAAAATAGGTGAACTTTATTAAAGGTTCTGCATACCTAGGACTTACAGTTTGTGAGATATTTCAATTTGAAAATGTGAAAATGCAGGCTTAGCGTAGAAATTTAATAATAGCGATAAAAAAATAATTTTAAGGAAGCAGCTTTGGAGAGTGTATTTTAGATCCTTGAAGTTAGAAATTATTATATTTGTCGTCACTTAATATTATACAGGGTGTTCAAAAACTGTTGAATACTTCTCTCAACTTTAAACAGCAATAACTTGGTTATTTTAAATGGGACACCCAGTATATTTTTACTTTGAGAGTTAGGAAATTTAAAACTCTTTCAAACTGTGTATAGGTTCCCTATACTTATCTCTAACGGTATTGGAGATATTTGTGCCGTTTCGTTTTTTATCAAATTTTTTTGTAAGATGTATCCACGTGTCTTTATCAAGGTTTTTATTGAATTAGTTTGGGTTCTTCTTGATGACGTCTCTTAAATATAAGGAGAAAAATGTGAATGCAATTAGATGGCGCACCTGCACATTTTTCATATTCAGTGAGAAATTATATAAATCGAAAATTTAGTAATAAATGAATAGGTAGGAATGGTCCATGTCAGTGACTACCTAGGTGTCCAAACCTCCCGTAATGGACTTCTTTATTTCGGGCTAGATTTTTTAATCTTGTACACAGTGTTTCACCTACTACTTGCAATGATATGAAAGGAAGGATTAGAGATACATTTGCCACAAATCACCCCAAATATTCTAAGGAATGTGAAAATATTATTTGAAGATAGAATACGATGCCGTATAATAATATTTTTTCCGTTTGGTCACTAGTGACCGAGGCGTTACTGGTGGCCCACCCTGTATAATAATAACCTTTTTGTTTTAAATTCGCACAATCATCCCTTAAAGTTGAGAAAACAAAACAAAGTTTCTAGCACAACTTTGTACTTAGTGCAAGTGAGCTCCTTTCAGCAAAGCATATTTCGTTAAGGTAAGAAAGCAACTCGCTTGGCGCCTATTTAATGCAGATATTTTTGCTAACCGTAACAAAAAACTTCTCTTAGTGTAGTAGATAAAATATCCTAGCAAAACGCTTCACTTGGACGATTTCAATGTAACTTTACATTCTATCAGTGGTGGCTGGTGCGGGAGGGCCCTACGGCGCCAGACCCTCTATAAATTTTAGTATCAAAAAATTTTATTTACGGTGCCATCTACATAATTAAATATGAAACACATTAAAAAGGAAATGTTAAGTTCGTTATGTGCAGTTAATTTAACTCCACATACTAAACTTTGAATACATGGGCTCCTCGTAGCTCGCCTCTACATCTATAAAGTGTTTACAGCGGTGGTCATGGTTACCGTCGCGCTGCCGTGAAAGACGTAGTGGGAGTAGCACATATTTACTATTCAGTTTGGGCTGTTTAAACCGACCGTAACCAAATAATAACTAAATTGTTCAGATGTGGTGTAAAGTTTTGTTACTTACATATTGTTGTGTTTTTTAAAAAATTGTAGAAGCTTAAATTGATTGTTGAGACAGACTAACACTAATGCTATCTATTGAAAAATGGTGCAAGAAATACCAAATTTTAATGGGAGTAATTAAAAACTTAATTTAAAATTTCAATAATACTTAAAACTACCCAATTATATATATATTTTTTAGTGGTATAGAAGTTAAGAGCCGCAACTGCATTTTATGCAAGTTATGTAGGTATTTACATCCAGACGGCTAAACGTTCAAAAATGTGTAATTTTTTACAAGAATTCTGAAACTAACTTAAAAGTGTCTGTACGGTCTTGTGTCGATTTAAAAATTGCTTCTCTTCCACTATTGCAACATTTCAAAAACAATAGAAAGTTACCAAATTTTAACTGTGATAAAAAATTACTTCTAATTTCATTCTGTATCTGCAGGTCGACTTCAAAAACCAGGCTTGGAAGTAAGAGATAGTACAGATGATAAAATAAATGTGCTTATGAACGGAAGGGTAAAAAAAGCACTAAACATTTCTCAAACATGGGATTCCTCTTTTGTGTTTGAATATCTCGAAGAGGATTTTATGAAGCCAGTTACAGATATTGTTGAAGAATTATTAAATACTACAGATATCAAAATTGCAATTTATAATGGACAGCTTGATCTTATCGTTGATACACCAGGTAAAACTAACAAATCTTATCAAAATATTTAGATCTTTTAAACACACATTCTTATTTAAACATTAATATAATAGTAGGTAATATAAAAAACATTCAATAAACATAGTAAAAATCAATATACAGGGTGTCCCAAAAGTGACGTTCGTCGTTCTAGGATTTGATTAAGGGGACAAAAGCAAATTGAAAATCAAGAGTGGAAAATTTTCCGATTGTTTTTCTTTGTTGAGCTATTAAAAAAAAAAATATTCAAAAAACTAAAAAAAGTGAAAATCCATTTTTTTTTCTCGAAACTGAGGAGTGTGGTTATAGGATTTTTAATCAGAGGACTGACTCTTGGAATTATTGGTTGCTCTATTATTTTCATAATAACAGCCTGAATAAAAACTACTGCATTTTCAATATTTCTATAAGTTTGCTGCCAACTTTACCTTTCAAATACACCGATTACATTTAGCTGCATTATTAATAATAATACAAAGAATTATTATTATTTTTTTCACAACTTAGGAGAATGACGAGTACTATGCCAACTGAACCATGTTTGCTCTCCACTCATACATTGCTTACTTATTTTTTAATGGCTTTTGAAGAATAAAATAATAGAGATTAGTTGTATTACAACGAATTGATCTAGTATGCTGTGGCAATCATAAATAAATTATTCAACATGATGGAGCTCGGTCATATTATGGTTTACGAGTAAGAAATTACCTGAATCAAAAATGACTTCTAAGAGGTGAACCTATAGCATGACTTCGTAGATCACCAGATCTGAATATATTTTTTCTTTTGGTGTTATTTAAAAGAAAAGGTTTACCTTTTGTAAATCCAGAAAATGTAGTAACCCGTATGCACACTGCTGTCACATTAATAGAGCAAGAGATGTTACAAAGGGTTCGTGCTTCAATGTTCAATCGTGCCAATATTTGTCTTCAACAAGAAAGAAATTATTTGAACACCTTTTGTAAAAACAATTGATATTATTTTAGCTCATTATGTCTTTAGTTTATAAGTTTTTTCCTCTCCGTTTTATAAAATTGTTTTATTATTAAACTGTTTTTCTCTATCCTTTTTAGGTTAAAATAATTCCTTACACACAGGTACTACCCTAGTTTCCGATAGTCGGTAACCGACTATACTTACCTACTATTGGTTATTAATTTGTCTTGGTCCCCATAGGCACAGACAGCAGTTTCGAGACAAGAATATTGGATTTTCACTTTTTTATAGTTTTTTGAACAATTTTTTTGAATAACTCAACAAAGAAAGACAATCGGAAAATTCCCAACTCTTGATTTTCGATTTCTTTTTGTCCCCTTAATCAAATCCCAAAAGGACGGTCGTCACTTTTGGGACACCCTGTATAGCTAACTAGTTGAACAATTTCTGGTTCCTGTTGCCTAGATGCATAGTTATTTGTTACTTAATTTAATTGTCATAGAATCACAACAATTATTATTAATCATCATCATCATCAATCAACATCGTCATCGTTATCGTTATCGTCCTCGTCCTCGTCGTCGTCGTCGTCGTCGTCGTCGTCGTCATCATCATCATCATAATCATCACCATCAACACACATTTGAAAATTTTTGAGAAATAAGGGAACACAAATTTAAAAAATTCAGCAAAAACTTTACCTTAGTAATGAAACTAATGAAAATTAACCGTAAAAGAAATTGTAATACATGTATCTAGTAGAGGAAGGTTATACATTCACAATATTTAAATTATAACTACAGTAATTTTAAAATATTAATTACAGGTACAATGAAATGGGTAAACAACTTAAGGTGGGAAGGAAAGGACGAGTGGGATGCTACCATTCGAAATGGCTTTTCCGTTGACTATTATTTTGAAGGAAATGTAAAAAAATCTGGAAATTTGGCAGTGTACTGGGTAGACAGATCTGGACATATGGTACGCATATATTATAATAAACAAATTTGTATAGTTTAGTATTTTATGAACTTTTACATTTAACAAATTATCTAGTAGAATCAAAGTACTCATTGTCATGCATTTCCATATCTCTAAATATGAATCATCATCATCAAGAAATTCTATATATACACCAGGAAAATTAGCGAAAATAAAAGAGAAACTCGAAAAAAGTCCTATCCGCTAGATTATTGTAAAATTGTCTAAAGGAACATAATACAAGACATCTCTCGTCTCGTGAGTCAAAAATTTTTATTAGCCAACTTTTCTATTTAAACAAATAAGTGAGGAAAGCAGTTTTTTCACTTTGCAGGGAAAACCATCAATTTTAGCGAAAAGTGACTC